CTGGGGGGCACAATACCATGTAAGTGCAATATTATTATGTATTCAGATTAATTCCATTAAACATATTACACTATGGGAGAAATCTGTTCTTTTTTTTAACATATATGGGGTTGATACCCCCTTTGGACCATCAGAATATTGCAAGAGTCTCTGCTGTTCCTTTAATTCCCCTTCAATATTATGAGGTTATGTGGATATTGAATACGTTGGTTATGATGGGCATCTGGGAAGTTGCCAATCTTAGTACACGTGATGAAGGAATATTGGATCACTTACATTGTATGTGTTTCGTGGGCACATGAAAAAGAAGTTCTCTATCAATATATCACAGCACTGATTATTTATGTTTTGGACACTTCACTTATTTATTTTATGTAATTATATGAATTCAATATTTTTTTTCACTGACTTATTTGGTCTACTCATGAGCAGTTGATACATACAATGTTTTTTTATTGTTATTATTATGATACAGGATTTATATAGCGCCAACAGTTTGCTCAGCACTTTACAAAATGATTATGCATGTGTTTTGTATTATTTAGAGATCACGGCATATATGAACTATTTTATTGTTTTATCCACATCCAATTGAATTTTGAGAAGGCACATTTATTGGAGATAAGCACTTTTTTTGTTTTTGACATTCCTTTAAGTAGGCTGGTAATTGCACTGAAATGCACAAAAAGTAGTGCATGCACTACTTTTGAAACATGAGTTGCACCAAACTGATGTTCTGCTGCCCGCAAATTCACTAGATTTGTGATCTGCGTTTGGATTGCTAAATAACAATGTATTTTCACCCGCTGCAGATTGCAAAGGCAGTGCATTTTGAAATGTGCATGGAACTCTGTGTGAGCAGTGAACTCGCTCTGACTCCAATATATTTCAATGCCAACAAAATGAAAATTCTGTTTTAGTCATCCCTACTCATATTCTCACACTCCAACCTCAACCAATTGTACACATGTTGTCTATTACTATATAGTCATTGCCATCTGGTTTAGACACATCACACATACAGTAAATAGTATTATAATAAAAAGGTAACGGACGTTGTGGCATCAAATGCTCATTGGCTATTCATTTCTTAATATTACGATCCCTCCTAATATCTCTAGATAAAAATTTTGTGATAACATTGTTATTGGCTGTCCTAAAAATGTCAAATAATAATAATTTGTAATTTAACTGAAAGATGGCATCAAACATGGTGTCCTATTGGTAGAGACACTGTAAGAATAATAGTTTATTGTTGCAGCCTAAAATGTGTGAAAGGCAAGATTGTACTTTTAAGTGAATATAATTAGTTATACAAAATAGTAGATATGGGTCTGTTCAAGATAGTTGGGTTTGAATGGGATTGAGACACTGCGGAAACAATATATTTTCATTGTGATCTGAAATGGGTGAAAAGTAAATACCGGTAGTTCTTTTTAATTTTTTCCCCCAGCAGATAGCTAAATGGGGTTGGCAACTGAGCCATGTGCAAGAAACTGTTATGTAGACAGCTTTCCAGGACACACATACCACAGTTCCTTAAACCTATAAAAGTCAATAGCAGTGGAGGTAAAGTCAGGACTTTTCATTTGTTTTTTTTTTATTTGTTACAGGTACTTATATACTGCCATCAATGTATGCAGCACTTTACATATGTATATATATATATATATATATATATACATATATACACACATATATATATATATATATATATATGTATACATTGTACTTTCACATCAGTCCCTAACTCTCAAGGAGCATACAAGGTCCCTTACTCACATTCATACTAGGGCCAATTTAGACAGGAATCATTTAACCTACCAGCATGTCTTTGGAGCATGGGATGAAACTGGAGTACCAGGAGGACACCTACACAGGCACAGGGAGAACATGCAAACTCCAGGCAGCTGGTGCTGTGGCTGGGATTCAAACCAACAACCCTAGTACTGCCAGGTGGAAGTACTATACATTTAGCCACTGTGTGTGTTGAGAGAACATATCTCAATAGATTGATAAAAACACAACTTTATTACATTAATAAAATATCGCTAAACTCACAAAACAATTGAGTTGCCAGTTGTTGTTTTGTATAACAGTCAAGTGTCAACAATTCAAAGTTGGCATGATGTATTGACGCGTTTCACAGTGATCTCGTTTCTTCAAGATCCATGCCCTCTTATTTGAAAATAATATGGCTCTACAAGGATAAGAGCAACAGATAAGTATTCAACAATTGTACAATAATGTAAAATTACGTTACACACAAAAAAAAAAAAAAAAAAAAATATATATATATATATATACTGCATATATGTATCACAATCTATAGAAAAATACCCAATAAATAAGGTGGTTAGTGTCTGGAGAGCGAGATTAAAAAACTCCACTCTGATCCCATGTGTGCCTTCACCAGTTTCCAAATCTTGGAACTGGTGGCAATTCTTTGGGAATCTGTCACTGCCATAAGAACAGTTTATTAAAATGGTGGTAGTTAGAGGGCTTGGATCAATCAGACCTACAGCCCTCAGTGTATGGCCACACTGTGGATATTTTATATCTCATATTGTTTGTTCTCTGTCCTGTACCCCCTGCATGGGTGATCAGTTATATTGCCATTCTGCCTGCAACAATAAAAAATGATTGTACCAGAAAATGGTGGTAGTTAGAACTACTTGAATTTGACACAAGTGATGGTAATGTTACTGAAACTGGTTGAAATGTGTGTCTGAATTAGATTTAAGTAGTTCTATAGGAAAACTACCACTATGAAAGTGTCATTGCATAACCCCCCGATCACATCAAGCCCGACTTTGAAATCGTGCGACTTACAGTGAAGTCACATGATTTAAAAGTCGGGTGAGATGCCGATTTCAGGTGCGATTTGCAAGACATCAGACACAAATGTCTATGCAAATCGCACCAAAAGTAGTACATGCACTACTTTAGAAATCGGTGCGGCTCTGACCAAGTCGGAACTGCACTGATTTGACCACTCTAATTGTGGACAATAGGGTGCGACTTGGCATACGATTTGCAAGTCGCATGGCATGAAAATCGCATGTCACGTTGCACCTGATGTGACCAGGGTGTTATTGAATTCCTCTAAGTGAGGGAAAGTCTCTTTGCATGCAACATGCTTGGTTTAACTATTACTCTTATAGTCCATCCCCCACAGTTACTACCTTTTGTACCACTAGCCCCTCCCTTTTAGATTGTAAGCTCCAAGGAGCAGGGCCCTCCTAACCCTCTTGTATCGAACTGTATTGTTGCTGTATTGTCTTCCTTTATATTGTAAAGTGCTGAGCAAACTGTTGGCGCTATATAAATCCTGAATAATAATAATAATAATATATTTGTTTTTTTCCAAATCAATATATTATTATTAATAGTGTAAAAATAATGATTTTATAGGTGAATATGCTTTTATTTTGTGCTATTTACCTTTGTAAAGGTGTACTATATTGTTTACATAGAAATAATTTAAGCTATGATGCTTCATTTGTGCTTCTGCACACAGTGTGGCCCTCGGTTCCCTGTTGTATGTATTTTTTATTGGTGTCTAAATGTTAACCTTTCCGTAACCTTCTAATTCTGAACTACAGTGTCTTATGGTGTTTAACTAAGACTATGTAAGTTCAAGAAACAAAAATACTAGTGTTTAAAGGTTTGAGTTCAAATGTTCAAAAGTAGAGCGGAGTGTAATGCTATATCTGTGAATAAAATAAGCCTGTGGAGAAGCGGGAGCACTCAAGCCAAAACACAACATATAATTGGACTTAATTTTTTCCATATGTATCAACAAAAACAGGCCATGAGAGATGAAAGGCTCCCTGTTTGGGTAATTTTATTTAGTGTGTAATTGTAACATATTATTTATTTTTAAAAGGCATTTTGTAAATTAAATGCACTTTGAAAGCAATGGACACATTTTTGCTCTGTTATTTTCACTGATAAAAAAATACATTAAAACATAAATAATAAAAACTGTCAGCAGTGCACTTTAATTGGCTTAACTTTATATGTTCTATAAGAGCAAGGCATAACATAGTGTGATCCTTCAAAGTTGAATCCCTGGCAAATAAAAAAACAAACTTCAGTTGTGTTGATTAGAAAAAAAAAATGTACCAGTATATATATTTGCACAAAACTACAGTAGTTTACTTTTTAAATCTGTCTTGGCATTAGTCTTCTGAAGAACCATACACAAGTAGCACCATCGCTAGAAGAGGGGTGGTCAACTCTATTGCTTTACACAGTGCTCTAAGTAAACAGTTTGAAAAGGCAGGATTTACTAAAACTGGAGCACTTAGAATCTGATTCAGCTGTGCATGGAATTCAATCAGCATCTAATTTCAGCTTGTTCAATTAAGCTTTGATAATAAAACCTGGAAGCCGTTTGGTTTCTATGCAGATCTCCACCAGATTTTGCACCATGCAGTTTTACTAAATAACCCTCATGGTGTCCATAGAGTGAGAGTACAGTCATTAAAAAATGAAATAAAACAGCAGCCTTTGCTGCATTATTCACATTTAATCCAAGGATACTCTGTGATGGACTGCCTGCCATCCCGGTTGGGTGATTTCGTCAGAGAACTGCTTCCTCGCAGCTGGGACACAGGACCAAGGTATTATAGCTAGGCGTTGCACCCAAGAACTAGACAGCCCTAGTTTAGGTGCAAAACTGGAACTCTTTATTGAACAGAAATACAGGTTTTTATACGCTGCAGAAATAGGGGAGTCCCCACATGAACAATAAAAACAAACATTACACATTAGGATAAACACCCCACACTGATTAGGTAAGAGCTTGGTCACATAATCATAAACAGTGCAAATGGTAATCAGTACAGCCAAGAGCTAACAATGATCTAATTAACAGTAGACTAATCAACAGCCAAACACTTAGGCAAGATAAGGAGCCCACCCCAGACAGCCCGGCACTTCCAACCCTGAATACACAAAGTACAGTACACATACTGTCTTCCAGGTGTTTGCTTTCACTTGTGTAATCTCTCCGTCATAAGACAAAATTCATACAATAGTCCAACAGTCTGAGAAAGTGGAATACATTTATTTTCATAGATTTCTTCAGTGTGATAGTTGATAAATATTTCTGTCCCAAGTTGAGGAGCTTCTCCAACCCAGTCTGCAGGAAGGCCCCATACTTCCTCTGACCATTAACCTTTGCAAGCTTAATATTACACCTTTCCATCCACTCCAGAAGGAAAGTGTATTATCTTCATTCAGAGTATTAAATCCAAGCCCTGCACTCAGCGTTCATCATGTTGTTGACAAACAAAAAAGGGGGTATTGGAGTGTACTCGGGTGTTGGGTCACTCCCAATTACATAATACACTAGTGCCACGTTCTAGTTAACTAGACAAAAAAGGGGAAAAGGATCAAGTCCATCTGCACTTCTTCCCTTGCTCTTTTTCCCTTTTTTTGCTCTTTCATCATGTTGTTGTCCATCATTAGAGAATGATCTGCTCTCTCCATGGGCCTTAATCAGTGGGTAGAAGGCTAGCCCCTAGTCCCCTCCAAAAGCCCCTGCCCTGGTTGGGTCTGTCACATACTCCACATAGTATTTTTGCACCACTAGATGTCCTCAATCTGATGGCAAGCAACATTCAACCCATTTCCTCTGATCTCAGACTATCATGGACCCACCTCAGTTTGTGACTGGACAGTGAAAGAAGAAGAAGCACAGTGATGGACTCATCTTTGTATAACTCTGCATTCTGAAATGTTTGGCTGGAAACATCCTTTTATCTTCTGCAATCACCTATTTTACACACAAAATCAAAAATGTGTAGATCAAAATATTTAAAAATTACTATATATTTATTATATATATATATATATATATATATATATATATACAGTGGGGATCGAAGGTTTGGGCACCCCAGCTAAAAATTTGTATTAATGTGCATAAAGAAGCCAAGGAAAGATGGAAAAATCTCCAAAAGGCATCAAATTTACAGATTAGACATTCTTATAATATGTCAACAAAAGTTAGATTTTTTTCCATCATTTACACTTTCAAAATAACAGAAAACAAAAAAATGACGTCTGCAAAAGTTTAAGCACCCTGCAGAGTTAATATCTTGTACTGCCCCCTTTGGCAAGTATCACAGCTTGTAAACGCTTTTTGTAGCCAGCCAACAGTCTTTCAATTCTTGTTTGAGGTATCTTTGCCCATTCTTCCTTACAAAAGTCTCCTGCCCTGGTTGGGTCTGTCACGCACTGCTCTTTTAAGGTCTTCCAGTTCTTTCAGATTTCTGGGCTGTCTGTCACGCACTGCTCTTTTTTGAGGTCTATCCATAGATTTTCAATTATGTTGAGGTCAGGAGATTGTGAAGGCCATGGCAAAACCTTCAGTTTACGCCTCTTGATGTAATCCCCCGTGGATTTCGAGGTGGTGTTTAGGATCATTATCCATTTGTAGAAGCCATCCTCTCTTTAACTTCAGCTTTTTCACAGATGGCATCAAGTTACCATCCAAAATTTGCTGAAATTTTTATATGAATCCATTTTTCCTTCTACTCGTGAGATGTTTCCTGTGCCACTGGCTGCAACACAACCCCAAAGCATGATTGATCCAACCCCACAACACAGTTGGACAGAGGTTCTTTTCATTAAATCTCTGTGCCCCTTCTTCTCCAAACGTACCTTTGCTCATTCCGGCCAAAAAGTTCAATTTTAACCTCGTCGGTCCACAGAACTTGTTTCCAAAATGCATCAGGCTTGTCTATATGTTCATTTGCAAAGTTCAAACGATGATTTTTGTGGTGAGGACGTAGAAGAGGTTTTCTTCTGATGACTCTTCCATGAAGACCATATTTGTACAAGTATCAATCTTTATAATGGAATAGTGTACCCACAACTCCAGTGTCTGCCAGATCTTTCTGAAGGGATCGTGCAGTCAAACGTGGGTTTTTGAATTGTTTTTTCTCACAATCCTGCGAGCTGTTCTGTCTGATATTTTTCTTGGTCTTCCAGCATCTTGCTTTAACTTCCACTGTTCCTGATGACTGCCATTCTTAATTACATTCCGAACAGAGAAACATTGACATCTGAAAACGCTTTGCTATCTTCTTTATAGCCTTCTCCAGCTTTGTGATCGTCAACTTTATTTTCAGTTTCAGTTTTCTAGACAACTGCTTAGAAGAAACCCATGGTGCTGATTGTTGGGGCAAGGTCAGATGAGTCTGGGCATTTAAAAACCTTTGAGATTGAAATAACCTGGTCATGGTCTTGGTCCCAGATGAGTCTGGGCATTTAAAACCTTTGAGATTGACAATCCCCAGATGACAATCTGGCAGGTCTCAGCAAAGGGGCAGTGCATGCTATAAATTCTGCAGGGTGCCCAAAACTTTTGCAGACGCCATTTTTTTGTTTTCTGTTATTTTGAAAGTGTAAATGATGGAAATAAAATCTAACTTTTGTTGACATATTATAAGAATGTCTAATCTGTAATTTGATGCCTTTTGAAGATTTTTCCATCTTTCCTTGGCTTCTTTATGCACATAATACAAATTTTTAGCTGGGGTGCCCAAACTTTCGATCCCCACTGTATATATGCAAAATACTGTACACAACACATGAACCCATGTGTAGGTAACATTTATTAATTATTATTTATTCATATTTTTTCGTTCCATTAACTTCCGATGCTAGCAACAGATGTCATTTATGATTTGCAGCATTTGTTTGTAGCTCAAGCAAGATTATAATAGGCACTGGTTTCCTGTGGATTTTCAAAACAACAGTGAAAAGGAACTGTCCCTTTAAAGCGGTTGTGAGGTATAATTTTCCCTGCTTTCATCTTCCGTTACTTGTTATTGTCTGTCCCAAATTCATATGTTATACCAGGACAGAGTTTAGTGTGAGGTAAACAGACTCTTTTATCTACCCCACACTGAAATTTTCACCAAACAGAATATTGTCTGGATTTTTATCTATGGATTTGTGGTCTGGTAGGCTGTGCTGCACTATATAATATTCACAAAGACCCACCACAGGACAGCCATGAAAACTTAACCTGGAAACAGTGTCTGTTTTTCATGAAATGGTGTACAGTTCTATCATTTTAAAAAAATTTCTAATTGACGTCTGAAAATAAAAAATGTAAGTTAAATTACCTGAGACAACATGTTCTAAAAATATATATGCATTCAATATATATATATGCAAGTAGATAAACGGAGCAACAAACTTGAGGCCGAAATCTATTTTGTTAAATGAAAGTGCAACGTACAATAAACTGTGACTTTTATTTTAACGTTATTTACTGTAGTCAGATCTGCGAAATGAAAAATCTGATTGTTTGCTCAGTGTTACTGAATTGTGCTTATTGCTTACTATTATAATTGTTATTATTGTTATTATTATTATATTATTATACAGGGCTTATATAGCACCAACAGATTTACAACATGAGGGCCCTGCTCATTAGAGATCTAGAAGGGAAGATCAAGTGTAGAACTGGTGTTAGAAACCATGGGGTCCCATATAGCCAACCTGACAGGGCCCCCATTCCCCCCAAAAAAACACAGTTCGCTATGTTTCAGTTATGAATGAACACAGCAAGTTATCAATACCAATTACTAATTGTGTTCACTCAGGAAAGAAGGGGCTAGAAAATGGCATATTTACCAGATCCTTCCCCCACTCTCCATCCAGAAGGATCCTATTGTGTGCTGGCAGCTGCCGGTGGAAAGTGGCAGCACTGTGTGGGCACACAAGGGGACCTGGGCAGTAGGCAGAAATGTATGCACAGGGAGGGTGATGGGTGCAGCGGGGGGTAACTGATCCCCTGTATGGCTCTCTCTGCAGAAGCTGAAAGCCAGCATGAGGGAAAGGAGAAGAATTCAGTATTCAGCTGCTGCAGAGAGAGCCATACAGGGGGTCAGTTCCAGTAATTGCCCCTCTGCCATGCCGATCATCCTCCCTGCCCACACCCAATTCATCCAGCTGCCTGGGCCCCCCTGCTGGCTTGGTCCCTATACAGTAAGACTGTTGGTACCCCCCATATTCACTTATCCCAAGGGAAGTGAAGGTTAATGAACTCCCAAACCCAACCATACACTATAAAATGTGACTGTTATAATACAAATGAAATAGATTTGTAATCTGTGGGGGTACTAGGTGTGTGGTACTTCCTCCATGTTTCCCTCCTCATTGGGCACCAAGTGTGGGTAACATAAGAGGCCTTCTTCTGGACTACACTAGGCACCTGAGAGGGGTCACTGCCTTGCACATGGGGTACTTTTACTTCTTCCAGGTCCATCAGTGCCTTGGGCCACTACTTCACTCCTAGTAAAAAATGGCATCCTGCTGTGCACCTAGAGTGGACTCCATGCATGCACTCAGTTAACTCTTCTTCTTCTGTACTGGTGCATAGGCGGGGGACCTCTGCTGCTGTTGATATGGGAGACAGACAGGGTAGGCAATGCCAACAGGAATTCCCTCACTGCAAAAGGATGTCGCACCTATCACAGGTACATGCTTTACAACAGGCTGCTTGTTAGACCTCTGCTACCCTTGGTAACCACTTGCTGCCTTCATACCCCAATGTGCTACTGACCCAAGTTGTAGACCATGAGTGTGCCAGTTACTTGCATTACACCTCTTTAGAATAATTTCAATCCAGGCAAAGACAAAATTTCAAAGCTTTACTGAAAACTTAATCATGGCAGTTGAAAGCAGTAACAGTCTTTCTCTAAACTAATCCCTAACTACAGCGGTTGCCCCAGCATACCTGCACAGCACAGCCATCCAAAGCAGTGTGATTACAGTGAAGCACACGCACAGAGCTTACTGTGAAACAGCACACAGTTAACCCTTTGACTGTCCCTCATGTTAACCCCGTCCTGCTCAGTGCCATTAGTACAGAGTCAGTGCTTTTTTTAGCGCTGATCACTGTGTTGGTTTCACTGGGGATGTCAATGACACCAAGTCAGTTCCTCCCAGTGTCAGAATACCTGCCGTAGTCCCACAGTCCCACTAGAAGTCGCTGATTGCTGCCATTACTAGTAAAAATAAAAATTCCAGTATCTATAGCTCCATTTGTAAACGCTATAACTTTCATGTAAACAAATTAATTTACACGTATTGGGATTTTTTGTAGCAAATACATGTAGCAGAATACATTTTAGCCTAAATTTATGACGAAATTTGATTTTTACAATTTTTTACTGGACATGTTTAATAGCAAAATTGCCCATCTCTATTTTTTTATAGCGCAAAAAATAAAAAAGACACAGGCGATCAAATACCACCAAAACAAAGCTCAATTCATGGGAAAAAAAGGATGCAAATTTCATTTGGGTGCAGCACTGCATGACCATGCAATTGTCAGTTAAAGTAAAGCAGCGCCGTAATGCAAAAAATGGCCTGGTCAGAAAGAGGGGTAAATCCTCAGGAGGGCAAGTGGTTAAAAACAGGGATTCTCTGTTTGTGAATATTTTAACATGTTCATTCTGGTAAATTGT